CATAATTAATTAATACTAATATCTCAAGTATTGATCATCACATTTGAATAAAACTTGGTACATAAATGCTCTAAGACAATAGACAGCCTGATTAATTTTGGGTTAAAATCTGTTCATATTAATTCTCTAATTAGCATAATAATTAATATTTTTTTGGTTCTAATCACATTCCAATGAAACTTGGTACATTGTGCAGACCTTATTAGTTTTACACCTAAATCTGTTCATATTAGTTACCTTATTTGCATAATTAGTTTTCAGCTATTCCATCAATATCTCAAGTATAAGTAATTTTGAATTAATTTTTAATGTGTCTCCAAAACTCTCAGCACACGGGAGTTCTTTCTAAGCTTTCTTTGATTTATTTTATTTTATTACAGGTGTAGAAAAAACACCCCTGGGCGTTTGCTAGGATATGACCTCAACTCCTTTATTTTATCAAAAGTGGGGGGTGGGCGTTTGTCTGGGCATGGGCTTTTAGCCAAATAAATATGGTATAACAATCAACCATTTGAAATCACGGGGGTTGGGGGTTGGAGGAGGTGTTAGAAAAAAAAATATTGCAACCTTGACATGCTAGATGAAACAAAAACAAAAATGTTGATATATTCAAGAAAAAAAAAATGTACAGATCAGACACTATGAAAACAAAAAAAACAAAAAAAGGGTTGGCCCCTTAAAGACCATTAGTGATGTTTCAAAGAATTCTGTGGTCTTCATTTATTTCATATATCATATTTCCTCTTATTAGAAGCACATGGCCAGTAGAAGTGCACAAAAACCAACAATTGCATTTATTGTATGATTTTCTTTTACCATATAAACACACCTCTGTCATTTATATAAGTGTACGTGCTACTTACTAAAAGAGCATAGAGCAATATGGTTGGCATTATTAGATTTCTTGAGATGTGCTTGATAAAATCCATTGACACACACATCTCTACACCACATTTCTACCTGATCATACAAGTCATAAATCAATATGGACATTATCATACAAATTATACAACATTTAGAAAAAATTTGATGCTATTTCATCTAAATGACCAAATCAGTCAAGTTATTTAATAACCATGCTTTGTAATAATAATAATTGTTTATTACATCTTTAGAAATATACATTTCTTTCAGTATATAGCAATACAAAAAAATAAAATAAAATATTAAAAGTTAGTAAGAAGAATTTAAAAAAGTAAATAGATTATACATGTAATATTAGTTCAAATCACATGTTTTTTGTGCGTTGTTGGAATGCCATGAAGATAAATTGTGCAACGTGCTTAATTGAGGTTTTGTCTTTTATTTTCATTATTAGTTGTAATTTCTTTTAGGAATATTATATGTGAGAACAAATCTTGCTGTAATGTCATGTATTATGGACAAACTTTTAAGTAAATGTTCTTCATCTTCTACTTTATCTTCATTTTGTATGTATTAGGTGCTATCACAGCTATTGATTGTAGCTGTAATGGTGGTACAGTATTAACTGGAGGGGAAGATAGGAAAGTCATTATGTGGAAGATCTAGACATGGATGATGATGATGATGATAATGATGATGATGATGACAATGACGACGCCGCCGCCAACGAAGACGACTACTGGTCATGCGGAACAACTACAAACCATTCTGTTCTTGTACACTGGGATCAGTATTAACCCTTTGAACACTAAGTCATCTTTAGACACCACCCATAAAATAGTTCTATTTATAGTGTGCTCTTTTCCTCATAAAATGTTGCGAAAATTTCAATTTTTTTTTATCGAAAACTAGGAACAATGTCACATTTTGCCTTTTTGGTCCAAACTTAAGATTGAATTCAATGGCAATTACAGAAAATGTGAACAAATTCACACTAATTTAAGTGGGAAAGAAACAAGGGTTAATTCTGAATAACCAGCGAAATATAGTGCCATAATTGGATTTTTAATTTAAAGCACGGGGGTCGCACCTGCGCACACGTGGGAATTGAGTCCAAGCGACAATATCAACACACGCTAAAAACGAAAAGGCTCATGGGTGTAGACGCTTGTAAACAATGAAACCCTATGGCCATCTGACGCATGCGCAGGTGACGACTCCCCCGCTTTAAGGTGTAATAATGAGGTCAGGTCATTTTAAAATGTTGTGTTGTATCAACATACAGTATTCAAACTTAACGTTGTCTCATGATACTTGTTGGATCTAGTCGGTTTTATTCAGATCCAGAAAGCTGGCACCAGAGATAGTCTGCTGTGTGCGTCTCTTCTGATTATATGTCATACAGAAGCAACAAAACGAATACATAGCCCCTGTCTGTGAATGTTTATAACCTCAATTGATATGTCCCCCATTTGCAGCAAGTTTTGACAATATACCGGTACATGTTAATTACGTGTAAAACATTATAATTATGTAAAGAAGTCGATTATGTGAGGAAGTTTTCAAATTATAGAACCAGATAATTAAATGAAATTATACACACTATTATATTTTCTGCATATCGATCGTCCACTTTTCCCAGCAGTAAATGTGCTTTAGTTCAATTTGTCTAAAATCGCCAAGTTAGTATTTTTGAATGTTTAAATTTAAGCGGATAAAATGTTCCTTAATTTGTACAATCGCACCAAAACAGCCTGAATTCAAGCATATGGAAGATTTGTATTCTTCAACAACATACACACATTTAATGTACTCAATATATGTATGTAGATATTGTCATAAAATATTGATTTTCCTAAAAAAATTACTAACTTGGTGGTTATTAAAAATGACAAGTTGAACACATTAGCAGAAAATGTTTCAAATATACATCTTGTCTGGCTGATTTTAAAATGTATAATCAAAATTTAGTAATTAATTTTATGCTTTTACATTTCTTATTAATCTGTCTACTACACATGGTTTGATGAGATGTGAGCATCTCCTCAACTGATATGAGGCTGACAATTACCACGGGTTGTGCCCTCTAGAGGCAGAAGTATTCATGATGATAGAGGGCGCCTTGCATGATGGAACACATCATTGCAATCCATGCAAATTATTGAAATTAATATTTTAAATGTTTCTCGTGCAAAATTTGTGAAATGTGGATTTTGTATTTATTGAATATTCTGCAAATTCTTTTGTACGATTTGGGAAATAAAGTTCAATAACAGTTGCACGTGTATACAACTGAAATATCCAATCACAATAGATTCTTCACTTCAAACTTGTTAAAACATAATTAGCATACAATCACAATGAGGGGGGGGGGGTCATCACTGCAAAGTTTCAATGATTTGATTTGCCTTAAAAAGTTAAAGCCTTGGAGTAGAATATAATTATTGACGTGTGCAAAGTACACAATTGGAAGAGTCTTTGCAGTTAGTCTGTATGTGTGTGTGTGTGCGCGTGCGTGCGTGCGTGCGTGCGTGTTCCACTGATATCTGAAGAACCATTCATTGGATTTTGATTAAACTTAATACATAGATGCTCTGGACTAATGCACAGATAAAAATCTGTGCATATTAATACCTAATTTGCATAATGATTAGTTAATTTTCAGTTTTTCTACTGATATCTCGAATACTAATTTCAATGAAATATGGTACATAGATGTCGTAGGACAATGCACATACTTGATTAGTTTTTGGTTAAAATCTGTTCATATTGTTTCCCTAATTAGCATAATAATTCATAATCTTTTGGTTCTAATCACATTTCAATGAAACTTGATACATAAATGGTCTGTGACATTGCGCATACCTTAATAGTTTTACATTCAAATCTGTGCATATTACCTGATTCGCATAACTAGTCAGTTTTCATCTTTTCCGTCAATATCTCAAGTACAAGTAATTATTAATTTTTGATGTGTCTCCAATACTCTCAGCACACAGCAGTTCTTTCTTTGATCTTGTTTTGTAAGCAATATAGTGAAATATGTGATCAATTGAGCCTTAGACATTTCTTTTAACGGTATATACAACAAGCAGCCTGTCGGCTGAGATAGATCACGAAATGAACAAATCTGAGAGAGGTCTACCTGTAGTACCTATGTAGTATATACAATATCAAAGCAATATCACTTTTTACGAAAAATTACAAAAAATATTCATGAAAATTAGAGAATTACAGATATCATCACGAAATGAACAAATCTGAGAGAGGTCCACATGTAGTACCTAGATATGTAATATCAAAGCAATTGGACTTTCGGTTTTTAACAAGAAGTCGAAAATATCACTTTTTACCAAAAATGACAAAAATATTCATAAAAATTAGAGAATGACATATCATCACAAAATGAACAAATCTGAGAGAGGTCCACCCAAGATACCTTCCGAGAAAGTTTCACAGCTATACAGTTTGTGGTTTTTAAGAAGTTGAAAATGTAAAGTTGGCGACAGTGAAGAACAATCAGTAATACTATAAGCTCAGCTCGACTTCATTGACAGCGGAGCTAGAAATGTATTGTCACTAGCCAACTACTTCCACTATTTGGACAAATATGGGTTTATTCAGCGTATTCTAGCCCTCGCCTATATTCTCTACAGCATTTGTCCACCCCTAGTGTCACGAACAATCAACCGCCCACATCAACTGTACCCTTTGTCTATTCATCCACAACAACCAGAGGCTGATGTGTTAGTCATATTTCACGATTTTTTTTTTCACTTTGTTACTTGAACCAATTTATAGATTATGAATTTGGATTGTCCAAAGTGGATTCCAAAACTTTACAATACAGACTTTTCAAGGCAGTTTGATCAGAGAATATGACAAATGAACATCACTTGTTATCCCTTTTATTTCACATAATACTCTTCGAAAGATAATATTACGGTATGCGGATCCAAGTTTAGAAAAATTTGATATATCGACAATTCAGAATTATACTAACATCCCTATCAAGGAAAAAATTAACAATTTGCTCAGCTTGTATTGGATACCCAAACTCAATAAAACACCATACAAAGCTTGATTTAATGCTGAATCATCAAAATGTTTAACCAAAGGGTTTTTTTGAAATATTAACATCTATTTTGCGTAGTCAAAAATACTGTATAAATCAAATGTGGATATTAAACAGTTCCAAAACTTCTGGAAAAATTAAAATCTAGATTATTCGAATTAACACTTAATTTGTAAACCTTATATAGCTATATCCCCATGATAAATCAATTACACATTGAGATTATTATCCATCAGGGATTTTTTAATAATTGATCTATTCATTAAAAATACATTGATAGATAGGATTCTACTTGCTTTAAAGCGCGGTGGTTGTCGCACAGCGAGTGTTTGAATTTCATGTAAATAAACAATGTATTTTACATGCATTGTATACGTCGCTGTGAGTCCATATGGAACAGGACTCGGCGGCATGACAACTGTCACCCTTTATGAACAAGACTGATGCAAATTATTTTTTCACATTAGATGACATTTCTTATTGACATCTTTGTTGAGTTTGAAATGCATTTTTCTACAAAATAATGGAATTCCAGTGGGAACAAATTGTGCTCCCTTACTGGCTAATTTATTCGTACAAAGCTGAATTTCTACAGAAATCGGTAAAATATGAAGAAGCCAAACCCTTTAATTTCACATTCCGAAATGCAACAATCCTAAATTTAGTGATTACCGGGGTATATTCAATGATATATCCAGTTAAACTTGAGATTAAGGAGACGACCCAATCAGATTCTTCTGCCTCAAATATACGTGCTTTAATTCAACTCCTAAGGACTAGATTTCTACCAAACTATACGACCAAAAGAGATGATTTAAAATTTAATAAACATTTCACATCCTAGCACCAAGTTATATATAGCAGGTAATAATCATAGTCACTGATCATAGAAACAAAATCTAAGCAACATGTCCACGACTCTAAAAACCATATTTTAATAGAAGGCCAATCAATTAATCGCCATGTTGAATGTGGCCACCAGCAGTACGTTATCAGACTCATAAATTGCTGGGCGTGTGTGGGTGTGTGTATTCATGGCCACAGTAAATTTATAAAGAAATGGATTCAACCACAAAAAAAATGACAAATTTGAAATTCGGTAATATTTTATTTTATCAAAATAGTTTTCATTCACATACAACATAACACTACAGTAAAATATAGAAAAAAAATACACAACTACTAAAAAATACAACCACAAAATTATTGTACAAATACAGTAAGTAAATGTTTCACTCTGGGTCCAAAAAAAAAGGTCTTTCAGCACCCCCCAGGAATTGAGAAAATAGCAAAGCAAATAGTAGCCAGCATAAATGGTGACAAGAACAATGATTTACAGGGAATATTTTATTTTTAATGTAATGAGATTGTCACCTGAAAGTAAAAAACCTCCAGCCTAATATTATACGACATATTATATTTTTTCATGGCTAAAAAAAGCCATTGTCACATTAATGAATACTTTTTTTTTAGTAATTATCTGGTGAAACTGAAACCATACATCTACAAATGTAATGTTTGCATTATAAGTACTGTACATAAAACTGTTCAGCAATTGGCTATTTTATGTCACATGAGTTGGTCAGGTGACTGGCGCTGACCAATGATTGAAAAGATTGGTATTCAAAAATTTGTTTTAAACGTGTTACAAATTAAAATAAATATTAAACTTGGATTTGCTTCTTATGAAAAAAAAAGGATTCAGTGATTTTGATTAATAAATTGTCTCTGCTTTGAGTAATTGCAGTTACAACAACCAGTTCACCACCGTGCTTTAAATATATGGAATAGCCCTCAAACTTTTATCATTGAATGACTATTCCATTTTACAGGGAAATGGGGGTGAAATTGGTAGGGTGACCACAATACGCATGGCAAGGGACAGGGAAAATTTAAATGGTTAGATGGCCAATGATAAAAACTCAAAATGAGAATTTAGGGAGGGGAACACAAAAAGTTAAAGAAGCAAATACTTCTCATGTCGAATATCCATCATTACGCGTTACCTACAGTAAATGGAACAAGACTTAACTTGGCATAAAATAACTAAAATAGTCCTCTAAATATTTAATTTGACATCACAGCAACATTACAGGGCTGTGTAAAATACATACTGCCGACTAGAAGTTTGGATATTCTTGATCCCTGAATAAGTGAAGCGTCTCAGACAAAGTAAATTTTTCCTTAAATGTTGCTCTGCTGGGCAAGAAAGGTCCTGATTCGCTGGAGGAGTTCTTTTTTTACAGAGTCTGGTACAAGAGCTGAAGGAGGAAAAAACATTCCATTATTAACTGATAGCTGCATAGGCAATAAAAAAAAAATTATGAATCTTCTTTGGATCTAGTTTTTAATATACACTTTGTGCACATCACAATTTCTTGCATCTCGGGTCGCTGGGAGTGAACGAAACAAAGTGAATTCATTTTGTGTTGGGACACTCGTCCACTACCCCCACCTGTTGATCTATGTCAGCTGGCTGAAATAGGAGTGACAACCAATACACAAACAAACTATCATGAAATTCTGGTTTTACTACACGTTTTTACTGCCAGAGATGGCCACAACCATTACTAAAAGATTCCATGAAACAGGATTTCCATTTTCAGCTTTCATGTAATAAATTGTATAATCACTACATGCATTCTTTATGAATGTTTTTTCTCTCATCAATTCTGTGAAACAGCGTTTTTCTAAAATCAATTACCTTGCTGTAATTGAGATTATTCTGGTGTTTCCGAAATTGATTCAAGTAGTATAGTAAATAACATAGTACATTGTATGACGTTCGACTTGATTCTAAAGTGCACGCTCAGTAGTTGAAATCAAACGTGAGAAACATAATAAAAACATTCTCACCTCTGCCTTTCGGAGTAATTTCTGCAACAAGGTCATCCACCGTGATATGCTCAAGTCCTTTCTGCCTCACAACCTCTGGAATTTTACACAAAATTCAAAACAAAGTATGAAAACAGTTTTTACTTTAATGCCCTCCAGCTTTCAATTATCACGAGTGAAGACCAAAGAAGAATAGGGCATTATAATCGGCAAATAGATTGAAAAATGTGGTTTAAACATCGCCCTGTTTTTATGACAAGAAACACTATTGTTTGCGGTATGAAAGGGAACAATGTCTGACCTCATTACTGAGGTTGTTATATTCAGAAGGCAATGACAGCCATGGGCATGTAATAATCTATTATTGTGCACATATATTTTATTGAACAGTGCCCAAATTTGGTAGAAAACAGTTGAGATCACTCTCTAACTTCACATGAAAGGTGGCAATAAATGCAACACATTGTTGCACAGAAACAAGGCTTGGATTTCTTTTTTAAAACCCACATTTATAAAATGGCCTTAGCATATAAGAATAATATTATTGGGCATTAATGGCTCTGTGAAATTCAAGTTCTGTTAATACATGTCAACTCCAACAGCGAATTGTTTACATCTCTGGTTAGCTTCAAAAAAAGCACCAACATGGCTTTAAGCTAATACAGGTTTCAATTTCAGACTTCACTCTCAGACTTTTCATAATATATTTTGAGAAATATTTTTTTTCTATGAGATGTCTATTATCCAGAGAAGTGAAGTCGATCCCTATGCTGAAGTCTGCAGATCGCATGTCACTATTGCAGACTTTTGAAACTCCTTGCATTTTTAAAGACAGTTAAAAAAAAAGTATTCCAGACCTTGTAAATGTAAAACTAAGATATTTCTACAAAGCAATGCTGTAACAATGAAATCAATCTGACCACTAAGACTATCGTGAAAACAACCACCAAATTAGTGCATTTATTGAACATTACTGAGTACATGAAACCACATACCGGTACATTGTTTATCCAAAACAAATACAAAATTTCCAGATTGACAAAAATAAAATTACCTTTACAATAAGCTTTTAGTTGGTCCCTCCATCCACATTCAATAAGTTTTGTTCGAAGTAATTCTTTCAACCTATGAATAAAATAGTCATTTGACACAAATACAATTCTGTATGTAGCTCCTAGCTGTCAAAAAAAAAACTGATCTCTGTGCAAAAGTGAGTGTTCAAGCAAAGCAAGGATACAAAGTTAAATATAAAGAATGATTATGACATGGTTTCAGGGATAAGTATTCAACTTGCCTTTCTTTTTCCCCAGTTTCAACCAGTTTCTGATTGATTGTAGCCCTCATCTGGGCATCTCGAACTTTTCTATCTGGATAACTGAAACATAACACAAGACGAATTGACAAAATAAGCACACATTAAGAAAATATTGATTTTTGTTTCAAGAGCACGCAATGACAGCATTCTCACTAGCCATGATTTGATCATAGTGCCCTGACAAGTATCAACACAATTATTGATGTTAAATCCAAACCATAAAATGACTTTCCAAGTAAAAGTTTAAAATGTGGGTACCATTGTTAAATATAGATGGTCCTAAAATAAATACTGGTGAGAGCAATTCTCTTATTGTCTGCATAATTAATACTGTAAAATGACTAATTTTCACTGGGTTTAAATTTCGCCGATTTACCATTTCAGGCATATTAAGTGGGTTTTAAATTCACTGTTTTATCATTTAGATAACGTGATCTATGCTAAATGTTACATATTCACTGGGTTTTAACTTAACGCATTTTCCAATCTGATTAAAATCTGATGTAGTGTACGGGCTTTAATTATTTTGGCTATAAACTTATTTTAATTTTATTTGTTATTACTTTTGTTATTAATGCCTTTTTATTTTATTATCATTTTACTTTGATTTTGATTTCGTGTTTTTTTTTAATTCCGCCCTACATACATCTGAACCGATGCCTATGTAACGAGATTTCAACGAGACCCACTATCGGCGATTTTAGTCAACGAATCACAGACCTCCTTCTATAGCGCACATGATGACGTCACCGGGCAGAGTCAGGTAGCAAACAGACTCAAATAAAATGGCGGATTATAGAGAATAACACGGCTTTTCGGTAAGTTTATCATTGTCAAATTCACGAAAGTCATTTTTATGTTAATATTGTGGCTCGAATGGTTCGAGTT